GTGACACGGCACCGCCTTTTGCTCTAGGCTGGCGCTCACCCGTGTCTCTCTCGATATCAGCCGTCCAGCTATTAATATGACAATCGGTTGTCATCGGTCGTCTCCCCGCCCTTGACACTGAGATAAGGCCGCCGCCGAATATGGATTACCGATATTGCTTTCTGTTCGGTTTTCGACGTACACTGAGGTGGTGTATTTTTTTTGTCTGTTCGTTGTTTTCTTCCTTGCTGTTCGACGTAGATAGTGTTAACGAAAGCGACTACGGTTTATACAATAAGTTCTAGATATATATATATATATATATAACTTGTGCGTAATCGCACGCCGTCTTTGGACTACGCGTTAAGTGTGATAACTGTATATACATACTTATATATATATATATACTTGTGCATAATTGTGCGCCTCCTTTGGACTACGCGTTANTGACAGCAACATTCTAATTTAAATGTCAATTATGTAAAGAAAAACTAGTACTTTCATTGACACCTTAGTGTGCTAATTTATAAAATGCATTTTTTTAAACTTATATTATAGAGTATATTTTATAATCTTTTTATGATTTATTTTGTATATATTATAATCAGTTGTCCCTGTAAACGTAAATACTTTTATAATTGTTTGATGTACCGAACTATTCAAATATTTTTTTGTTTTTGTCCTGGCGAGGAAAAAAATCAACCTACGAGAATTTGTAAAGATACAATTTATATAGAAAATATTAAGGTCTATAATTTTTATTCTATACAATTTTTCGTTTTGAGCTTTTGTTGTTGAGATATTAGCCGAAAACTAAAAAACCACCCTATTCAGTGGATTTTCAACCCTCATTCGGCACCCGAAGGGGGTAAGTAAATCTTACGAAACTCAACAAAAATCATTATTATCTAAAAATAAACAAAATTAGGGGGTGCCGCACAATTTATTATAAAGTTGAAAAATAAGGACCAGCCTAATATATATATATTTTTTATAGATGCTTGATGTTTTTACCTATTATTCGGTATATTTTTTTTATAAATCTGACCCTTTAACTGCCTACTGGGGGGATTTAAAATAATAACTTCTTCAACTTAACTTTTAAAAGTGTTCCGGAAAGTCTGACACTTTTATATATATCTTAAATTAAAGATAATGTAATATACTTATCATGGAAAAAAAAATTTCGGACTTAAGATTGTCTTCACTGGTGAAAATGGCTACCGAATGATATTTTTGTATGGAAATTCTCGATTTTGTATTTTACATTTTTAACTTTATTATGCTATAACTTATTGAAAAGTGTATGGATCAATACAATTTTTTTATGAGAAATAATATTTATATCCCTTTTTCATTTGACATACTTTATCTTAATCAGGATATTAATAAGGAAATAGCAGATCATGTAGCTTTTGGAAAAATTTACTAATTTTTTAAAATTAAACACTATCTACAGATTTAAAAGTATTTTATGATATTGATTTTAATCACAGTCAGATATCATTATATATATATATAAAATTTTACAATGTTTAATATTAGTTAGTCATGAACGCTTTCAAATTTTAAGAGATTTATTTGAATGTGAATGTAGTTTTTATTTTGTTTAAACGTAAACATTTTTGTATCGTTCATATATTATAATAATAATTATCTATCATTTTCTAGTTGAGTTTTAAATAAGAATAAATATCTAAAATTTAAAAATCAATTGTTTCAATAATTTTTTTACGTGTTTTACGATATTAAATATATATAAAAAAAAAAATCCAGCATAGTGGAGACATTGCATAGTTGGGTCCAGTATAGATTTAATCTGACAGTGATTAAAATCACTATCACAAGAAACGCTTCGATACAAAATCTGTAGATAGTGTTTAATTTTAAAAATTGATGGATAATTACAAAAGCAACATCAACTTCTATTAAAATAAAATACAAAACCCATAATTTTAATACAAAAATAGCATATTTTTGAATACAGTAGCCATTTGCGTATAGAAGATAAGTTGTCGGGAAAATTTTTTTTTTTTTGTTTTATAGTACATAAAATAAGCTTTAATTTGATATATGTTTGAATGACGCAGTATTTCCGGATCATTTTTAAAAATTAAGTTGAAAAAGTTAATTTTTGTAAAAAGTTACTATTTTAAATCTCCTTGTGAGCAGAATAAGTGTTAGATTTTCAAAAAAAATGATATCAAACGAAAGGGAAATATCTAAGGTTTTAGTATAAAAATGTTGATTTGTTGAATTTTGAAAAAGTTATGGAAGTTTTAAGAAAAAAAAGTGAAAAAAATGACAAAATTTACCGATTTTTAAATTTGTAATTTTTTTGGATATTTTCCCCATTTGCAGGGAACGAGGGAATTTTTTTCAATTTTTAAGGGTAATGTCTTCAACTAGATACGATTTGTGATCTTTTGACGTATTGTTGAAAGAAATCGGTCCAGTGAGAGCTGAGAAAAAGTGGCAACAGACATAAAAAAAAAAAAAAACACATCATAGTAAAACCAATACCTTCTCAGCTTCGCATCGAAGCTAAAAAGAAATTAAAGACATTTAAATTTAAACATTTTTGAGTAATAATAACTGGTGAAAAATATTTAACTAAAATAATAACATAAGTACACTTATATAAACCTAGATGTTTTCCTTAAAATTTTACCCTCCTTTCTAATAAAAAATTAATGTATTCAACTTTTTTTATACATTAACTGTATTAATGAGTTATGTCAACTTGCTTCATTGAAAAAACATTTCCCTCTCCAAACCAAGATGACGAATTCTATTTCTTTTTATAATTACACAATATACAAATTTTTAATTATTATTAAGCTTATTACCTATTGTTCTTAATATTTCAAGAAATACTTTTAACAAATTTTAAAACTATCAAGTTATTATATTTTTTCAGAGAATTAAATCAAGGAAAATAATGTCAACTTGCTAATCCAGCTTTTAAAAATAAGAACACCAATTTAAATAATAAATGTTGGTTTATATTATAACTAATAATTTAGAATTTAAATACTTGAATGTCCTCGGGTTTAACTACGCTCACGTAAAAAAATGGACCAATCCATGTACCAACTGGTTCATAATCATAATTGACTGCGTTTTGTTCAATTTTTTGTACCGTCCCTACTCATCAATTTATTAAAAATAATAACATTAACATTATGAGCTTAAAATATCTAATACTAAAATAATTATTACCTTCGTATGTAGGGGTATACATTGAAGCTGTGCCAATGAAAGGATAGGATATAGGTCCTGGCAATTTAGAAGCCAAGTTACAAAAGCGTTTGTTTTTCCATCGCCAATGAAACCAAATTGATAACATAATAATAGATACAGAGTAAATTACCATCTCCATATTCAATTAAGATAAGAGAGAGCTATTATATCAGTTTAAAAAAACAATAATTATTTATCATACTCTAATGAAAAAATACAAAATTCAAGGTGGTTTTTAATTGATATTAGTCACTTGATAACTTATAACATAATAATTATACTTAGTAAATTCCTCTTTAATTTTTTAGTTTTCTATATTTCTTGATTTATCAATTATTAAGTATTATTTTAATTTATCCCTTATACCAAATAAGGGTGTCAACTTTATTTTCTCAGTTTTCACCGAACCGATTTCTTTCAAATATACGTCAAAAGATCACAAATCGTATCTAGTCGAGGACATTACCCTTAAAAAATGAAAAAATTTCCCTCGTTCCCCGTAAATGAAGTGTATCTCCAAAAAAAAAAGTACAAATTTAAAAATTGTTAATTTTTTCAATTTTTTTCTTAAAATTACCATGAATTTTTAAAAATGACCAAATTAATATAATTTTTTTTTATGATGCATGATGTCTTAACCTATCATTTGGTATATTTTTTTCATAAATTTAACCCTTTACCAGGCCACAGGGGATGATTTAAAATGACAACTTTTTCACAACAAAATATCTTTTTCAACTTAACTTTTGAAAGTGTTCCGGAAAGTCTGACACTTTTATATATATCTTAAATTAAAGATAATGTAATGTACTTTATTATGGAAAATAAAATTTCGGACTTTATTTTGTCTTCGCGGTGAAAATAGTTACCAAATGCTATTTTTGTGTAAAAATTCTCGATTTTATATTTTACATTTTTAACTTTATAATGCTATAACTTATTGAAAAGTGTATGGATCAATAAAATTTTTTTATGAGAAATAATATTTGTATCCCTCTTTCATTCGGCATATTTTATTTAAAATAACACCATTTCCCTTTATATATATATATTCATATATTACACTTATAAATCATAAAACTTTTAATCAGGATATAAATAAGGTAATAGGAGATCATGTAGCTTTTGGAGTAATCCACAAATTTTTTTTAATTAAACACTATCTACAAATTTGCATGGAAGAGTCTTTTATGATAGTGATTTTAATTACTGCAAGATATCTTTATACTTGACCCAAATATGCTATGTCACCATTGTGCCGCGACTCCCGTGTGTTGGGGTTTTTTTTTAATGGTCATATATATATATATAACTAGTTTGTAAAATAAATTGTTTATCGTGGCTTAAATAAGCATTAGTGATGAGCGATTTTCAAAAGTCATCGATTTAAAATGAAATAAAAATATCTGTTGAATTAAAAATTAATTAATTTTTCGATTTAAATAGATTTTTAATTTTAATATTTTTTAATTTATAATTTAAGTTTAATTTATAAATGTTATTTATTAATTTTAATTAATAAGCCAATAGTTAATAGAACAATCAACTAGATAGCACATTTGAACCCTGGAAAATACTAAAATAAAATAAATTTATTTACGTTTGCATGATAAATTTCATATTTATAGATGGTTAATTAGTGATATTACTAAATAACTTTGGTATAGCCTTTGACATAAGACATAAAGCAAATCGATAGTTTTTAAGTACATAATTTTAATAACAAAAAAAAAAGTATTTTAAATATTAATAGTTTAATCACGAAACAAAATTGTACAGCAAACGAAATAAACGCGGTGATAACACCGATTAAGTGTGCACTTCTTTTTTGCGTTGCCAAACGTTTCATGAGATTTCGAAAATGGACCTGAGAGAGTGCCGAATGTAAATTCTTTTATTTTATTTTTATTAAAAAAATATCGACTAAATCGAACTAAAAACGAATCGATTCATCAATAAAATGCCTAGTCAGAATCGATTTTTACACAATTTTCTCTCAGTCACACATCTCGTTATCAACCTAAATGAAAGTGTATCGGGGTCTAAATAATAAGCGCATGGTGGCCTAGTGGTAAGGTTTATCTCCACGACGCTTTAGGTCGCGGGTTCTAATTCTGTATCGTGTCTCTTTTTTTCACACGATTTCTGGTACGCTTTCTGTAACCGGCCGTTGAATAAACGCAGCGCCCGATGGTAAGTACACGCGTGGGTTCGTTAACGTTTGTTATTTTATTTTGTCTTAAGTCAGGCTATGTCAAAGAAAATAAATAAGGTGAGTGGGCTATATGAATAAATGTACAATGAATTTTACAATACATAATTATAACAATTAAATGTATTATACATGAATCATAAAATCTTATATACACCAATGTGTATAGAGGGGACACTTAATAGTAATGCCACAATGATGCTGATATAAACAAATAATAAATTATAAATGTGAGCAAGTCTTAAAAAGAAGATGAACAAGCATTGTACTTATCGGCTGATTGAAATGGCTGATGACAATGTTGAATATTGAAAGGATCAATTGAAGTCGAATGCAAGTAGCTGACCAACATGTATTATACTGTACTCAGTACTCGGTACTGTGATGCATCTCAAAAATATATAGACCCAACAGCGATATACTTAACGCACAAGGGTGCGACAATCGCAAAGGTGATATTTTAATTTTACAACAAAACGAACAAAAAACTGCTTGCTCGCAAGCACCATAGCTTATAGCTAAAAAACGCTAAGAATGCGGCGGCAATGTAGACATAGAGAGAAGACCGACAACAACTCGGTGTAGCACAACGATAGCATAAGTAATTACAACACACAATTTCTCGACAGCACATTCGACCGATGTGTAACCAACAGCCGTGTTAATTTTAAAATCGATGAATTGATCGAGAAAAATCAATTTCCCATCACTAATAAGCGCCAATAATCTGATTAAATAAAAATGATAGCAACTATTCGCGTAATAAATTTGTTTATTAGTTAATTATTATTGTTGGACTTGATTTAATAATTATAAATATTGCCGTTTCCTTTGACAGTTAATGTTTAAGTAGATTTCCATAATCAATAAACCATAACATCTGCTAATTAATAAATACTTATATATATTATTTCGTAAAATGTAACCAAAATAAGTATTTCAAATTTCGATAATAATGGTTTTTATAAAATAAAATGTGTCAATTATATCACTATAATCACAGAACCAATCTAATGAAATTGATCTTCAATTTTGAACATCACAAAAAAATATTGAATTTATATGGATCCCATATCACACCTGTATCAAACATAATAAAACAGTTGAATAACTAGCCAATGAAGCGCACTTTTATATAAAGATATAATCTAAAAAATGCACATTGACTCTGTCACAAGACAAACATGAGAATTACAAATTCAACTCAGCAAAATGAGAACGTGGTATAGTAAGGACAAGTATAAATAAATCTGACAGTGATCAAAATCACTACCATAAAAAATACTTCAATGCAAATCTGTAGGTAGTATTTAATTTTTAGAAGAAATGTTTGAATTATTCCAAAAACATCACGAACTTCTATTCTCTTAATTATATCCTGATTACAAGTTTTATGACTTAGAAGTATAATACATAAATAAATACTTTTTATAGTAATTAAATTTAGTATGAAATTGTTATTGAATAATTTATTATTGTTAATTTACGGAGAAATAATAAAAAGTTATAAAATTAAAGTCATAAAGTTGTTTTATACAGAGTCATTCTTATAATATTATCCATTCGATTTCTCTTAAAATAATAATTATATTAAGTACATTTTATTGATATGTTTTTATTAAATACATTATTCGATTTATTAATAGTTGAGTTTTCTTTAATTTATTTCTTAGATCTAATAAGGATGTAAACTTTATTTTTTTTTAATGGTCACATACATATTTAATTAACTAATAAAATAAAAACGGTAGCACAGTGGGGTTGAGGTACAGTGAAGACGAGGCATAGATGGGACGAGTATAGATGATATCTGACAGTGATTAAAATCTGTAGATAGTGTTTAATTCTAAGAAATTGGTGGATGATTAAAAAAGGAACATCAACTCTTATTTCTTTAATTATATCCTGATTAGTAGTTCTTTTACTTTAAAATATAATATATGAATAAATACTAATTATAGTTATTAAATTTAGTATGAAATTGATATTCAGTAATTTAATATTGTAATTTATACGGAAAAAGTATAAAAATAATAAAGAAGTTATATTTTGCTTTACTTTTACAAAAATTTAAAGGGCTTGATGCAATACTTTTCAATAAAAACTGTTTGTTACTATAAATAAATGCACTGCACTACAAGGAACTTCCATCAGAAACAAAAATATACTACTCCAAATCAACTTTTCGCGATGTTTTCAAATGTGCAATTAGACTTTTTCTATCACTTCTAATTTTTTATATTATTACTAATTACATATATTATTATTATTACTAATAACATAATAATTAAAAGAAAAAGAAAATTGTGTTTCAAATTATTACTGATTTTCATTTTTAACCTATTTTTTGGTTCTTAAAAAGTTGCTGAAAAATTTTTGATAAAGTTTAGTGAAAGTTTATGCAGTCAGGAAATTTTATAATTACTATTTATAATAAATTTATCAGAAAATCTCAATATTTTTTTGCATTTTTATCGTAATAGATAACTTAAATTAACGTAATAGTAATCATTTCCTAATAAGTTTTGGTGTTTAAAAAGATTCTACAATTGAAATATCCAGAACTGAATTAATTTTAATCATTTACTTTAATTAGAAAAATAAAAGTTATCATTTTGAATCCCTCTTGTGGGTAGGTAAAGGGTTAGTTTTATAAAAAAAAAACCAAATGATAGGTAAAGACATGCATTTATATAAAAAATAAATTATACTGATTTGGTAATTTTTGATAAAGTAATGACAGTTAACAAAGTTATAAGGTTTTTACACTGGACTACAAGGAACTTCCATCAGAAACAAAAATATACTATTCTAAATCAACTTTTCGCGATGTTTCAAATGTGCAATTAGACTTTTTCTATCACTTCTAAATTTTAATATTATTACTTATTATTAAAAAATAAGTATTTACTTATAAAAAAAAAATAATTGAGAACAAAAAAAAAATTG